GGATGTGTCAACATTTTCCTTGGAAATTTCACTGTTATAAAATACAACGTCTCTCCACCCCACAATGCAAGGGAAGATGAGAACAAGAATGAGCAAGCCCTGAGGTTGCCAGAGGCCACTGAGAATTTGCTAAGAAGATTAGAGACCCGGGAAAGGAAAGAATGGGCCATCAAGAGTGGGCTGCACTGAGTGGTAATGATGAGGATTATTTTTTTAAAACTGCAGATGAGAAGGAGGCTCTGAGGAGTGGAATTTGCTTGCCCTTTGATGAGAGAAATTTGCATTTGTGAAGGAAGTCTCCATCTGTGGTGGTGTCTCCCTCTCTGCACCAGGAGGAAGGGGGGATGGCCTTATCTCTGGAAACTCTTAATGGGGAAGGCAAGGACTTAAGTTGTTTACTCTCTGGTAACCTCATGTAACTGACCTCCACCCAACATCCTCCTTTGTCTTTAGCTGAAGATAATATTTAAGGTGGTGGCTTCTGCCATTTACTTAATCCAGTTTGATTCTTATCTAAAAGTTATAAGACCACCCAATAACCAGACCCCACAGGCACTGATACCATTTTAACAACTCTTTTTACACATTCTTTCCTTTGTCTTGTAAAGAGATAACTCACATACCTATGCCTTAAATTTAGCCGTACTCTCAACCCATGTTTACAGCAGCAGCTCTGACTCCCCATGAGTCCTGCCCCCATGCAGCAGCAGCTCTGACTTCCCATGGGTCCTGTCCCCATGCCAGCAGCAGCAGTAGCAGGAGCAGCTCCTCTTGCCCGTGGGTCCTGTCCCCATGCAGCAGCTCTTTGCTGCCCATGGGTCCTGTCCCCATGCTATTCCACACTATTCTCTAAATAAAAGAGCACTACTGCCAAACCTTGAGAGTCCAAGAAACTTTTCTTTCGACTCCTCGGCTCACTGACCCCGCATCAGTAAGAATGATGGATTTTATCCAGGGTGGCCTTTGTTTTCAAAACCCCTAATTTCTCTAGTCTAGCCTTTTTACCTGGGTCTTCTAAGACCTACTATATTCTAAGAAAGCCTTCCTTTCGGCCCTGCCAAGGACCAACAGGGCATCCTCTCTTAGGCAAATCCTTTGGAAGAGCTGGTAGAGTCTGCCCTCGGCTTTGCCACAGCAGAATGCCCAGGAATCCAGTTAGTTCTAAGGTCAAATTCCTAGTCCCTGGCCTTCAGGGTCTCCAGGCTCTGTGTTTATTTTCTGGTCTGGCCATGTTATGGACTCAGTTGTGTGTCCTTCCCCCTACCCTCCAAAAATTCACATGTCGAAGCCCTAGCCCCCAGTGTGACTATTTGGAGATGGGGCCCTTTCCGGAGGTAATTAGGGTTAAATGAGGTCATAAGAGTGGGGCTCTAATCTGATAGGACTGGTGTTCTTAGATGAAGAGGAAGAAGCAGACACTGGAGAACTCCCTTTCTCTCTGCACGTGCACAGAGGAAAGGCAGTGCGAGGACACACTGAGGAGGTAGCCGTCTGTCAGCTGGGAGGTGAGGCATCACCACCAACCAACCCCTTGATCTTGAACATCCAACCTCCAGAACTGTGAGAAAATAGATTTCTGTTGTTTAAGCCCCCCGGTCTGTGGTATTTTATGGCAGCCCTAGCAGGCAAACACAGGCCACAAAGGTCCAAACAGGCCCACTTGACAATTAAGAGAAATCTCAATGCAATAAAATTCCCCACAGGCTTCTTCAGAGAAATACATTTCTGTGGTACTTTTTGCCCCATTGACTCATCCACTGGTTTCTGTATTTCAAAGAGAAGTTTCCTTTCCTGCTGCCTTTGAGCATCCTGTAGAATAAGGATCATCGACAGGAAAGGCATTGCCTAATCTCAACCACAGAAAGATTCCTCAAGAGACCAAGGGACACAGGAGAGTATTCCATACACTTAGCATCGCTGCTCCTTTGCAAAGAGGAGTTGATGGAGAAAGGGTTTACCCCGCCTATCAAAATTGCCATAATGTAATTGCTAATGACTCTCCAAAGGCTACTGCTCAATGCAGAGCACCTGCAGCCACCAGACCCAGCACAAAGCCTGACATTTTGACAGCACTTCTTTGTCTCACACCAATCATCTTATTTTCACAAGCAACTGGAGCTGCCAAAAGCCCCAGTGAGCAATCACAGCCTGGCAGATGCCACGATGAGACGAGAATATGGGTCCTGGAAAGGGGACTGCAGGCTTCCAAGCCTCCCCGGGTCCCAGCAGGCACAGAGAAAGCGGCAGACACACTGACCTGCATGTTAATATCTCCAAAGTGCAGAGAACAGGACACAGGAGATGCAGGAGGAGAAATTGGTTTGAAAGTGTTTTAAAGTGAAATAAAACAACTCAACACGTTAACCATTGAGGAGATTTTCAGATTATGCATAGACAAAGGCAGCCTATAAACAAGGTACAAGCACATAAAACATGTTTTTCACTGGAATGAACAATCCAGGGCTATTTTAAATGCTTCATATCATGGAAATATTTATGTTTAAATAGAAGGAAGAAAAATGGTTAATTGGATTATTTTGAATAAGGACCATTAAAGCATATTTTCACAATAATTGGTAGCATCTTGCCCAGGGACACTTGAGGCTCGAGGAGTCCCTCAGGGAACATGGGAAATCACCCCATCTTCAGTGGCAGCCTCTTGGATACACCCTTTATACTGCCACCACGCCACAGTGAACTTTTCAAAATGCAGAACTCTTCACATCCTCTCCTTACTTAAAACTGACAGCTGCTCCTTTTTTGCCCTTGAAGTACAATCTAAAATTATTAGCATGGCCCGTGAGTCCCTCCATGATGGCCTTCTGTGTGCACCTGTGCTGTCATCTCCTACCTCAGACATCACCCCACACTATCACTCCCAAATTACTTGCTCTCAGCGTCTCTCATCTCCACAGCTTTGCACGTACTGTTTCCTCCTCTACTCTGATGAGTGAATTATGACTGTACTTCAAGATATGGGTCAAAGTTACCCTTCTTTTCAAAGCTCCCCTGATGCCTCTAGGCAGTGTTACGTGCTGCCTCCTCTACACCCCCAGAATACCCCATGGGCCCTCTCATATGAGGTTAGTATTCAGCATTTGACTGTGAGGATGTCTTGATCCACGCTGAGATTGTGGGTCCAGGAAGCAGGTACCTGTCTAATTTCTCTTAGAATCCCTTTGATATCCTCTAGACCAAGCATATCATCTGTTGGCCTAGAAAGATCTTTTTCCTATTAAAATATGTGGAAACAAGCAAGCAAAAAACACAAGATGATTCATAAAATATGCTCAGGTGTATGGAAAAAGTAATGTTTCCTGAAAACTTAGAAGAGAATATATCTAAAAATGGCTTTCAACAACAAAAGAAAAAGGAATGAAAGAAGGAAGGAAAGAAAGAATGAAGGAAAGTGGAGGGAGGGAAATCTTAGAGGACATTGGCTTGATGTCTTGAAAAAGCCATGGAAGGCGTGGCTGCCAGGAGACAGGATCAGGGAACCACAGAGAGAGAAGAGGTTGAGATTAGAGAAGAGATGTGATAAGAATTTGTAGAACTGGAAAAGAACAAACAAACTAAAAATACAAAAAGGCAAGGAACTACAAAATGCAAAAGCAAAACCAAGACTGAATTAGGGCCATAAAAATCTATTTCTCATAGTTCAGCTACATTTCCCCACCTGGCACATCAGGTCCTGGCTGCTTCCTCTTGCTGGTCCATGCTACTGGAGATCTGATTCAGCCCTCCCTTGTAAGGAAGCCCTCCCTTCTATCTGGAAGAATCTCAGCTGAGGTAGAGGGTGACAAGAAGTGCATGCAATTAGTTTTCTTAGGGAGGTAATCTGTGGCAACTTGATCACTGGGTGCCAAAAAGTTGAGGAAAATGTCACCAAAGTGAGAGGGAAAAAAACCCAAAATTAAAATAGTAGTAAAAATAAGAATAGAGGCAAGGATTCATTATCTTTATAAAATATATAGTTTGCTTTTTTAAAGATAATAAGTTACGGGGTCTGACTCCAAAAGCAAAAGCAATAAAAGCAAAAATAAACAAGTGATACTATGTCAAACTAAAACGTTTCTGCACAGCAAAGGAAATCATCAACAAAATGAGAAGGCAACCTACTGAATGGGAGAAAATATTTGCAAATCATTATTTGATAAGAGGTTAATATCCAAAATATATAAAGAACTCACACACTTCAATAGCAAAAAATAAACAATCCAATTAAAAAATGGGCAGATCCGAACAGACATTTTTCCAAAGACCAACAGATAGCCAACAGATACATGAAAAGACACACAATATCACTAATCATCAGGGAAATGTAAATCAAAACCACAATGAGATATCACCTCATACCTGTTAGAGTGGCTATTATTAAAAAGTCAAGAGATAACAAGGTTGGTGAGGATGTGGAAAAAAAGGAATCCTTGTGCACTATTGGTGGGAATGTAATTTGGTGCAGCCACTGTGAAAAACATCATAGAGTTTTCTCAAAAAATTAGAAATAGAACTACCATATGATCCAGCAATTCTAATTCTGGGCATTTCTCTGAAGAAAGCAAAAATACTAATTTGAAAAGATATCTATACTCCCATGTTCATTGTGTCGTTATTCATACTAGATAAGACAAGGAAACCAACTAAGTGCCTATTGATGAATGAATGGATAAAGAAGATGTGATACACATACACACACACACACACACACACACACAGTGGAATATTACTCAGCCATGAAAAGGAATGAAATCTTGCCGTTTGCAATAGCACAAGTGGAACTTGAGGGCCTCATGCTAAGTGAAATAAGTCAGACAGAAAGACAAGTATCGTATGATCTTACTTATATGTGGAATGTCAAAAAAGAAAAACAAAAACAAGCTCATAGATACAGAGAACAGATTGGTGGTTGCCAGAGATGGGGTTTGAGGGGTGGGCAAAATGAGTGAAGGAGGTCAAAAGGTACAAACTTCCAGTTATAAAATAAATAATTCATGGGGATACCATATACAGCACGGTGACTATAGTTAATAACACTGTATTGCATATTTGAAAGTTGCTAAGAGAGTAGATTTTAAAAGTCTCCATAACAAGAAAAAAATTCCCTAACTATATATGAGGGTGGATATTAACTACACTATTGCTGTGATCATTTCGCAATGTATACAAATATTGAATCATTATGTTGTACACCTGAAACTAATATAATGTTATGTCAATTATACCTCAATAAAACTTTTAAAAATAAAAATAAGTTACATTTTTATGACAAACAACAAAAATTTGAGGAATTCCCCCAAAACGAGTACTAAAAACAAACAAAAACTATGTCCAAATTACTACTAACATTGTAATCTATATTTTTCCAAAAGTTATCCATGCTAATATGTAAAAAATTACATAGTTATCATACCCTCATATACACTCCCTACATCATTTCTTTAAGTCCTTGTTGAAGATATTCTATTAGAGTACATAAATCTGGTTACTATAAGTGATAAACCCAGAAATCTACATCTCAAAATGATGAAAGTGCATTGCTTTCTCAGATCACAAACTATTGCTGACAACAGAACATTCTGCTTGTCACGCCAAGGCTCCTTTTAGCTTGTGATGCTAGGAACTCGGGGGCAACGTCTTCAACATGTCTCCAAGGTCACTGTGGAAAGGGAAGAAGGCAACTCTGTTCTGCAGGGAAGAGGTGTGCATCACCTATGCTCACGTTCCTTTCAGTCAAGTTCAGTCACTGAGTCCTCCTTAGCTGTATAAAGCTAAGGAGGTAAAGTGTAGATTTATGCCCGACACAACAGGAGACACACAGGCTTAGTGAACTTAGCAGTCTTTGTGTTGTATGATGGTTTTATTGTATGTGCACAAATTCTCTGATGCTCTTCTCTTCAAAAGGTAGAGCCTAATTCCTGTCCCCTTGAGTGTGAGCTCAAGTTCTGACAAACAGATGTGATGGTGTGTGACTTCTAAGATAGGTCATAAAAGGCATTGCCACTTCCTCCTTGCTCCCTGTCTCTTCTCTCTTGAATCACTTACTCTGAAGCAATGCCAGCTGCCATGTCAGAAAGACACTCAAATAACCCTATAGACAGGTTAAAGTGATGTGGAACTTGAGATTCCTACCAATAGCCAGCATCAATCTGAGACAGACTTCCTCCTAACAGCCACATGAGAGGGCCATTGTGGCATTTATCTTCTAGCCCCAATCCAACCATCAAATGATTGCAGCCACAGCCAACAACAGGACTGCAACCTTATGAGACATCCAAATCAGAAAGACTCAGCTAAGCTGCTTAGATTCTGACCCACAAAAACTATATGAGACAATAAACATTTACTGTTTTCTGCCACTAAGTATTGGGGTAATTTGTTATGCAGCAGTAGATAATTAATGCAGCTTAGAAGAAGACACACAGCATAAGTCTAGGCAATGTATCCCCTTATTGCCAAGTGGGACTTTGGGCCCAGACCCAATATGGAATTCTTAAAGGAAGCTCAGTGACTCTCTGTTTAAACTTGACAGCTATGAGACTTGGGGACAAAGCTGCCAGAGACACTTCCTCTGCATTTCCTTTTGGCCCAGACTCATATTCTAGCTCTTCAGTTATTGCCATTGAAGTGAACAGGTAAGACCATTCCACAGGAAGACATGCCAAGGAAGTGCAATGAAGAGGAAGATGGAATCCGAATCAGACCAACAGGCCCCTGGAGGTGGGCGGAGGGGGAAGAGAAAACAGCTCACGAGAGGAGGCCCCTCGCCCCTTTTACAGAAGTAGTCCTAGGAGAAAAGAGAGCAAATTTGCAGAGAGAGAAAAGAAAATTCCCCATTCTGACCTAGAATCAAAACCTCTTTTGTTTCTTGAAATTTTCTGCCTCCAAGTGCTCCGAGTCATTAAATATTCTTGTACTCAGATCCATTCACATTAGCATTCCTTTGACGTGGGATGGGGTGAGTTAATGTAGAGGAGCTTTATGCCTTCCCTGGAGGCCAAATGGTGTGATTTGCCAGCCTCCTAGGGCTAGCTCTGCTTTCTGATAATAAAGGCTCAAGTCTGGTTTTAATTCTATGATAGAATAACAATTTCTAACAATAGCCTATCTTCTCAAGTTCATTTTCACTTAATAACATCATACTCTAGTACATAGAGTTACTCCAACAAGTAATCAATCAACAGTGTTTCCAAATTAAGGACCTGCTAAACCAGCTTTAATGGACAGAGTATTTGGTACATTACTTGTTTTTATACAGCAACAAACGCTAATTGTGCAAGTTTGTTAATGTTTAATGTTCTTAAACAATTTTTTTAATAAATTAAAACTGTCCTGTTTTTATTGAATTCTTACTAATTGTTTCTATCTTGACAGATAGCTCATATTATGCTTTTGGTGAATTATCAACAAATTCTGAATTTATGTAGCTCAAACGAAAGAAATGTTTCACCAGCAATAGCTATTGGGCTGTTGTCCAGCGGTCAGTTTCATTCCTTGTTTAAAAGACTAACTTGTGTGGTAGGCCCTTTCCTATCTAGATGGATGGAATGGATGGATGGATGGATGGATGGATAGGTAGACAAATAGACAGACAGACTGACTGAAGGATGGAAAGAGAGAGAAAAAAAGAGAGGGAGAGAGAGAGATCTGGATGTCCAGAGATGGAAGGCAAGACTGAAACACACAGGAGACAAAAAGTCATTACTGCTTGGCAGAAAGCACAACACACTGGGATCTGAGACCTGGTTCCATGCCCTGCTCTGGCACTTATAACTTTTTCACCCAAAGCAATAACTCGAACCAGTCTTAGGTCCATCTCCTTGTCTGTAGTAGGAAAAGGAAACACCACCTCCTCCTGTCTTGCCTGTGGTGTTGAAACACTCGAACGTAGGTGACAGTGTTCTGAAAGAACAATCAAGAGTGTAAAAGACAATGAGGATGGAGAGAAAATGCCTCATGCGGCTGCCACTTCCAATTCCTACCCCTCCATTTCCAAAGTTACTTATGCTGCTCTGACGGGAGGACAGGTGGCCTCTCATAAGGATTCCAACGTGTTTAGTCTTGAAGCCTCCCTCTCAGGAACTATGGGCCAAGGACCTAAGGTTGAGTGAGGGAATATTAACATCAACATCCTTTTATATCACACTCCAAACACTTTCTCCTTGCCTACTCCAAATGTTCACTTCCAGAATGGACCCAAGCTCCTGCCTGCCAAAACAAAAATTAACATAAAAGTGACTTTCATATCTCTGAACACATGACAGCCAAGACCCAAACTGTGATTAGAGACCCTGCTATGCGTGGCCCTAAACTAAAACCACCAAAAGAACAAAATTGTGCACTCTCTCTCCTCTCTCCTTGCTTCTAGGGTGTTGGAATGACCTTTGCCCTCCCTCTAGGACTAAGAATTTTAATCATGGTACTCGGTGGGCCTTACCCAAAACCACCAAATTCTCGTCGTTACACAAAGTCACCCAGAGATGCTGAGACTAGCATCCAGTTATACTCCCCCTGGGACAACTCCACTCCCACTTTCCCAAACACTGGATTGTGCAAAAGAGCATGTTTGCTGCCCATCTTTTCCCATTGTATCCTCCACTAAACTGTGAGATGGCCTTTTGGTCAAAGCGTCATTGAACGAATCACAAATGGTGAAAGAGGGTTTCTACTTCACAGATAGTTTTTGGCGTGGGTGGCACCTTATCTTAGTGGATTTGTCAAATGTTTTTTCAGGCTCAGGAATCATGGCAAACTTTTCATCATAGCATAGAGCCCAAGAAAAATCAGCCAAGAAACCGTTAATGTGACATAAAACTGCAAATGTGCCCTGGGCCAAGGGAAAAGAAAGCAGATGTGTAATGCAAACAAAATGATTCACAGGCACTTCCGGGTCCTCTAAGGATGCCCAGGACCCAGAAATACATACTCACATTGTCATTGCAACCTTTTGTATCAACAAAACTAGTTTTTCATTGGCCAACAAAAAAATGCTCAGAGATGACCTCCGGTTTCTATTAATCCAGTCTGAATTTTAGGGGAGCTGGGGAAGAATTCCAGGAAAATGTAGGTTTTTATCACCTCGAAGCAACGGAATGAACACACTAGTCACTTCCAGATCCTTTTCTACAAGCCCACAAAGTACCATCCTGTTTGTCTTGGGGTCTTCAGTCCCACCAGGAAAATCCTCTAAGCACCCATGCCCACTCTAGATCTTTACTCCTGTGCCTCCTTCAATGGCCACTACATCTATTGGATGCCACCTCAAAACTAGACAGCTTATGATGGGTTTGGGGAGCCTGGCTTCAGCTCATGGTTGCCAAGACTTTCATGAGTTTTATTGTCATTGCTACTACTGTCACCACAATGAATTAGGAGAAACCAGATTGGTTACTGTCACATCAAATGGTGGAACCAAATAATTTTGAGAGTCCTAGAAAAGTATGAGTCCTAGAAACGTATTTTAGAGTCAGAATGGGAGTGGGACTTTGGTCCTTTTATTATTCTAACTCAGAGTAAGCTCTCAACTGTGGGACTGCAGCCCAGAGTCATGGTCAAAGACCTGGGCTTTGTGGCCTTGGAGTTCCTCCACCTGCACTCCTCTCTTCCAAATTGTGTGATGTGGGCACTGTTGATGTCTGTGGTAGATGCCATGATGTGCTGCCTAGATCTCCCTGCAGGAAGGAAGGGCTCATTTCCCTGGTAGCTCAGTGGGATACTGGCCAGGGGCCCTCAGCTCTCAGCCCTCTTGGGGAATTGCCTTGGCTGAAGGAAGCCGTCATGCCCAGGGCAGCCCTCATCCAAAGACTGGTCCACACGGGGATATAAAGAGCCTTCCCCTTTGCCCCAACTCAGGGCAATGCTAAAGAGCCATCCTTTCTTTAAAGCTCCCTGAGGGGTCAGCTTGGACCTTCCTTGAAACTGCATTGCAGCAAAACTAACTTCCCCCTCTGCCCACTCCTGCTTTCTTCCCATCCCCCCACAGGTGTTGATTCCAAGAGCACTTCCTAAAATACCTCTTACATACTAATCTCCATCCCAGAGTCTGCTGCCTGGAACCCAACCTGTGACAAAGCCCACTCTGTAGCCCCTCGGCCCACCTCCAGTTGACGTACAGCTGTGGTAGGCGATCTGGCACACTGACAGCTTCCAATCTCAAACACCCACGTCTCTCAGGGTCTCTGCCTGGGGCTTTCTCAGCAATACAGGTTGCACACAGCTACAACCAGGGAGTTGATGCCCCTGAAACGACCCAGGATCAATGCCCAGCCTTCCCACACTCAGGCGGGACAGTTCTGAGGCCTGTTCCACAGTTTCTGGGAGAGCCCCTGGAGGGACTGAATCTCCTCTGTACCCTGCGCTCCCCTCATCCATGTGCCTCTTGTTGGCTTTCTCCTCCTCTGTCTCATTTCTCCATTCCTTGCTTCCGCTTCCAGGGATCACCTCCCAAGAAGCCACCAGCATCCAAGTTTTTGCCTCTGAGTCTGCATCTGGGTGATCTGAAAAAAACAAAGACAGTCTTGTTTCTTTTCCTTTTTTTTTTTTTTTTTTTAGGAAGATTAGCCCTGAGCTAACATCTGCCACCAATCCTCCTTTTTTCCTGAGGAAGATTAGCCCTGAGCTAACATCTGCCGCCAATCCTCCTTTTTTGCTGAGGGATACTGGCCCTGAGCTAACACTTGTGCCCATCTTCCGCTACTTTATGTATGGGACGCCTGCCACAGCATGGCTTGACAAGTGGTGCTTAGATTTGCACTGGGGATCCGAACTGATGAACCCTGAGCCACTGAAGCGGAATGTGTGAACTTAACTGCTGCAGCACCGGCCTGGCCCCAAAGATGTTCTTGTTTCTGTTCCTCTGTCTAAACTGTGCTGGAAACTCACCTTCCTGGGGGCAGAACCAAAGCTGCACTTGCTGGAAAGGGGCCATGTGTCATGGTGAGCGTGTCAGGAGGACAACACAGTAAGAGTGCTGTGGACACCAGCCCCCGTGATGCCTGGCTAATGTCAAGGTATTTTATGATGAAATTTATTAAGAGAGGAGATAGAGCTAAATGAGCCCCTTGCTACATGTTCTTGTGTAGGAACTCTCCAGGGTACTCTGGGGGCTGAATGACAATGGCTGTCACTTACAAGCCCTTACCCTGTGCCCGGTACTGGGAGGAACACTGCGCAGGATCCCACTCATCCTTCAGTGTCGATAAAATCATCCCCATTCTCACAGATTTGGAAATTGACATTCAGAATGGCATGTAACTTCCATGGTCTCGCTGCTAATCAGCTAACAGCCAGGATTCAAATCCAAACCCCAGGAGGCAAGAGGCCCTTGAAATGTGTAGGTGCCCAGGCAAGCAAATTCTGGGCAGCTCGGATCTATGATGTGAAGAGGAGAAGTGAAATGGTCTTTGTGTGTTGCTGGGACAGGTGTGAGGAGAGGCAGGAAAAGGGTTAACAGGGTCTCAAAAGTCTAATGGCAACATTATGTTGAGGGGGTTAGAGAATGAGAAAAGAGCTAAAATAACCACAACATCTTCCAGGTCAGCACGCTGCCCTTGAGAAATGAGTTTGGTGCCAATCTAAGCAGGCTGAATATGAGCTGTCCTGAGGAGGGACTCTGATGTCATTACTGTGCCCCCAGATGTCACCTCTCAACCAATATTTATTGAGTGCTCTTAAGCTGGAGAAATGGAAGTAAACAGAAAAGGCAAGTGGCCTGCCCCCAGGGAGCAAGTCTATAGTTGGAGGAAACTGAAAATAAACAAATAAATCGATATATTAAAGATGTCTGAGAGTAATAACAGCTATGAAAACCTAAAATGGGCATGTGTTAATAGTTGGTACATGGGCACAAACTTCGATTGGGCAGCAGAGAAGGCTTCTCCTGGCAGGTCACATTCAGGGAGACAGACAAACGAGAGGCCAAGCATTTTGGGGAGGGAGCAGCAGTACAAAGGCTGTGCAATTCTGGGGAGCAGCAAGTAGGCCCGTGTTGGGGCATGGGGTAAGCAAGGGAGAGACCAGTAAGACCTGAGGTCAGTCCCTGCCCTCTGAATGAAGACATTTTCTTAAGACCAATAGCATCCAAGCCTGGGAAAGTTTAAAGTTCTCTCCCAAATTTTACAAATTCCTGTGGACTTAACATTCCCCATGTCCTGCTGCTCCAGCCCCTTTTTCCTCCTTTGCTGTGTTGGTTTCACCTGGTGACAACCAAAAATTCACCTATCAGTTTTCTGTAAGAAACTAACCACAACAAGCAGTTTATGGCTATTGCATATATTAAGATTTGGAGGTATGTGAGGGAAGGGTCACATTATCCAGCTCACATCATTCTGCCCTCTCCCTTGCCCCCTCATCCCTTTTCCCACTCTCTTCCTCATCTTCTCTTCCAAACTCCACCAAGACAGTCCTTCTCCCACTCCAGGCCCTTCCTTTCTCCAACCCTGGAAACCATTTCTACCACAAGAGGAAGTCTTAAAAGCATTTCTCCACAAAACTAGATCTCCCGAAGAGGAATTCTAGAACAAGTGCTAAGAGAATAAAATGTTCTCCGTGTCATACTCCTGTCCGGGGAAGATACGTGGGAAAAGCGCTGGAACCTGAGGACTTGGCCTCACGATGGGAGGAACATCAGCTTCCAGCTGTCGGGGTTGGCTTGCACACAGAAATGCATGGTGTGTGCATCTTGCATCTAAAGAAAAAATTAGGTCAGCTATAAATGGAGAGGACACGAGCACCATGAAGCTGGCAGGTCCCTGCTGGGTTTCCTGGGGAATGATCTATGTTACAGAGTTGTGGAGGTGTCCTTGGAACACGGGACTCCAGACGGGCATTTAACAGAGAGAGAGCTCAGCTTGCTTTCCAATAAATACACACATCACTTCAGTGCTGGGCCTGGGGAGGGTGTGCGTTTAGTGGGGTGCTTCATTTTTCTTTTGTACCCTGGATCAGGTTGTAAGATAGGAGGTGGTTTTCAGAATATAGATGGGCCCTAAATAAACATAAGTAGTCCCCAGCCTATGATATCTTCTCAACAAAGTTCTTTTTCCCTCTGCCTCCACCCCTCCCACCCTTGCACCCTGGAGGTGAGGTTGTAATTATAATAGCTGCCATTTTTTGCACCCCTATTATATACCAAGACATTATCTCTAATCCTTGTAAGACGAGATAGTTAATACCATTTCCATTTTACAGATGAGGAAACCGAGGCTCAGGGAGGTTGCTCAGGGAAGTCCCCACATAACTGGAACATGGAAGGGCCTGAGTCCTTCTGAACTGATTTCCCATTGTCTTCAAAAGAGAAAGTCTTTGGCATTTTCTTGATTCCCAGAGGGAATAAATCTGTCTGTTTTTTAAGAGTGGCGTTTGTAAGAACAACCCTGGGACCACCCCTCAATTGAGTTTATTCCTGGGTAAAGTCAGGGTCATCCAGGTCACCAATGTGTCCTGAGCACCTGCCATGGGAAGCTCAGTCCCTAAAAAGAGCACAGAGTACAGAGCAAGTGTGGGACAGGGGTGTCCAAAAAACAAGAGAGTGGGCTCCATCTTCCTAAAGTTTAAAGTCTAATGAGCTTCTAAACACAACTCCTTGGTGACTTGACTAAGCTGTCAGAAGAACCCAGGGGCAGGAAAGACACAATCCTCACACTACATACCTCCTTACCTCTCCCCATCCTCTACAGCTCACACTGGAGCTGAGTGAACATTATTCTGTCCCACATCTTCCTTATTTTGCTGTTTTGAGGGCCCAATAAGGTAATTTATGTGAAGTACTTTGTAAACTCTAATAAATCACTAGAAAAGCACCATTAGCAGGTGTTGTATAAGACCCAGTCCAGACCATCACATGCCTTTGTCAGTGTCCTCATCAGGTGTGCCTCAGTTATAACCATTATCCTCATCAGTATGAGCAGCATAAAATATTCATTGAACTCTTATGTTGGGCCAACCTCTATGCTTAGCACAAATGTAATTCTATCTAATCTTTTAAACAATCCTGTGGGCCAAGTATTATCATCTCCATTTCACAGAAGAGGATCTTAGGAATTGAGTCCCTAAATAAGATGTCTTACCGGAGTTAGGTATATCGTTTTCTAGAATTGGGTATTGGGATTCTGTATCAAGTACCTTTCCTGGTTAAACCATATCTTTCAGGGAGTCAGAAGAAAAAGAGTAAGCAGAAGTGGTCTTAGAGCACTAACAAGGGCCCCTTCACTAAGTCCCCAAACCCTAAATCAAAGAATTGTCATAAAACCATCTAATGTGCCCTCGCCACCATAGGCATGGGAGGTTCCTAGACAAGTTGCTCTGAAAAGGTCATTTACGGTCAATTCAGCCTTTGGGGGAAAGAGTACCAGGCTGTAATTTATGAATGTATCAGACCCAGGCTGGGGACCACCAAGGCAAAAAACATTACATGGCACCTCTGTTGTGTCAGACTCCACTTGGCCCCTCCTCGGGGCCTAATGTGCTTCTGCTCTATCCCTTTTTTGTCCCTTCCTCCCTCCCTTCTGCATTTTCCACATATCTCAACACAACTCAATCCAATATGGGAACTTTGTGTTAAGAAAAGGCATTAACAATAACAGTGGTGTTCAGTTACTGAGGCAGGTACTGTTCCAATTGATTGACATGTACTTGGTTGTTAATCCTCACAGGTACCTATGAAACACTCTTATTACCTCATTTTATGGATGAGAGAACTAACACACACAGAAGAGAAAGAACTTTCTGAAGCTCACCCAGATTTTGAAAGGCAGAGCTTGAGTGGGAACCCAAGGAGTCCAATGCTGCTGCTCTAGAGACTATTTCCTTATTTTTAAAGATCATTTTATTCTGGAAAATTCCAAGCATCCAGGAAGACGATAGCTGAAAATGTGGTAATAGGTGAATATGTCTCCAGAAAGTCAAGTCATTGATCAGCCTAGAATTGGGTTACAAAGGAAAACAGTGGCAGGTCCTCACCCACAACAAGCACAGCTTTAAAAAGAAAGGCAAAAACAAGAATTAGGGATGGAACCAAAAAGCCAGAACCCCAACCTGGAAGTCCAGACCCACTTGTAACAGTACAATGAGAGCCACCATGTCAAAGTGAGCATTTGGTCCCAGCAACTGAACTGGAGCTTCAGAGCATCATCTTCTCAGGCGCTCCCAATACTGCTGGAGGTAAGTCGTTTTCCTGAGGTCTCTTAGCCAGGGAGAGGGTGAGCCGAGACCTGAATGCCTTTCTGTGGGAGGCCAGAGCTGGGGCTCTGAGCCACTTGCTATGCACTTTGGAACTCTGAGACAGAAAGTCAGTTGCAGCTGTCTAGGGGCCGTGCAAATGGAGCTCAAGGTTTGGAGCTAAGGGTCATGCTGATGGAGCTAAGGATATAGGCTCTGTTCCCAAGGTGGCCTGCTCCTCTAGCAGAGCACAAAAAAGTCGGGGATCACTTGGCCAGTCCTATAAGGACCAATGCAAACTTATCTCCATCCCAGGAAGACCTCTCCAGGAGGAGATCTTACCAAGATCAAAAAAGACACCTCTCTGCTTATAGAAGGAGGTAGTTCACTATTATATATTAATTATAATAAACTCTCTGGTCTTATTAAGCCAGTGTGTGAAGATACATATTAAGCCTAGAATTCTAATTTTAAATAAAAATGTTCTCTATAATTTGTCTTTGATTCTTATGAGCCAGTTTATTGTCATACAAAAGAATGAAAGTTGACTATATTCTCGAAAATATCACCTTAAATATTTTGTCCTTCTCTCTAATGCTTTATTCAGCCACTAATCATTTATTAAGTAACTCCAACTCAGTGGCAAATGTCATAAGCGGGCATAAAACTGTTAAACAAACACCAAAATAAAGTCTGGTAGGAGCAGCAAAAGATACTCCTGAATCTAGTTGCTATGTTGGAGGGTGGCACTGACAGTCTCGCCTGGGAGGCCACCACGGAGTAAGGGCCCATCAGGGAGCGGGAGCTGAGAAGTCATTCTTGCAGCCCAGAACTTTTCTTTTCCCATCACAGTCTAATAGAACTATAAAATTCCCCCAACACTGTCAGCACCAACAATGAGAAGGATAGTCTATTTGCTTGCTGTTTTTAAACAGCTAGAAGATTTACAGGATGAGAACATCACCTCTCCAGCAACTGCACAGACTTGTCGAGGGCAAACAGGAACACCAACAGCTAGGGTGTCAGAAATGCAGCAGAGGATAAAGATTCTGTGATGTTAGGTGAGAACTCAAAGGCTTTACAGGGAGGCCACCCAATGCACAGGATCAAGATCCCTAGGGTCCCACGTTGAGGGCATCAGAGCTGGGAGAGGGGGTGGCGTCAGCAGATTCCTCCAGATGTTTCCAGCGCTCCAACAGGCTGGCGACAAGGTGTGCGGCCCATCAACTCTGGAAGTGTTAGCGCCACCTGAAAGCTAAGATAAAGCTTGTAAGAAATATGCATGCTCTGCTATTTTAGTAATGTTGGCTTATACCTAGACCTCCCGATTTCAATAAGGCAATAACTTTGTTCTCTAAGTTTTCCCAGGGATGTAACGACCTCCAGGAGAAAACCTTCTGCTGGTATTTGTCACCAGTGACAAGAGGAAGGGATGATCGGGAGTCTCCAGGACTATAACACCAGATGGTCAATATCCTGAGATGCCCCCCCCTCCACCTTCAGCCCATTTGCCCTAGATAACTGCTTCAAAATCTTGTTGTTTTAAGATGGTTCTTTAGGACACGAGTCCACCATCTTCCCCCTTGCTAGCAAGCTGTAATAAAAAGACCCTTTCTTTCCTACCACCTTGCCTCTGGACTGTTGGCTTGTCTTGTGGTGAGTAGAAGGCCCCTTTTGGCAGTTACAGAAGCACACTGAAATTAATTTGTTTTCCTTTTTTTTTTTTTTTTTTTGCCTGGTTGTTAGCTATACCTGTGCTTAGTAAAAGGAGCCCAGTGTAGTTTCAGTTTGTCTCAATTGATCCTTTTGCCGATTCTACAAATCTCTGGGTTAAAAGCCCCTCAGTCACCTTTAAAGAATCTTTATGGGGTAGACCCAGGTGACAATGACTGTTAAGGTCCTGGGGCCTCAAGCTCTAGGTAAGCAGCCACTCTTAGGCGTTTCAGACAAAGGGTGAGATAATGGGAGATACTTGGGGTTCAAGGTCTCAGGGTTCAAACGTACTAAAATTAACTGATCAGTGACCACCTCATGAATGAGAGACCAGTAAGAAGGGCACGTGTTCTTTATCTGTGGAGAACTTCTTACTGTCATAAAAGATGATTAACTGCACTAGAGGAAATTGGCTAATAAAATAAAATATCAATGCAGTGAAACTTTGGAGTCAGAAAAACCTAGATTCAAACTGAGCTCTGCCACATGGTAGCTGTGTGTCTGGTATTCTGGGCTTATTTTGCACCACAGAGCTGTAACAGTGAAGCACTTGCCAGGACTGGCTACACTGCTCCTCTATCTACTTGCCACTTTGTTTATATTAACTCCCAGTCGCCTTCAAATGAGTGGCAAATACTATTATGTACTCTTTAAGTTTCATCTTCCCTCTTTGTTACCTATATACGCTTTTAACATTTCTTTCTAAGTTTTAAAAATAAACACTTTATCACAAAAGGAAAAATACTATATGAGCTACCTAGAGTAGTTGAATTCATAGAGCCAGAAAGTAGAAGGGTGATGGCCAGGAGCTGGGGGAGGGAGGCATGGGGAGTGTTTAATGGGTATAGAAATTCAGTTTTTCAAGATGAAAAAAGTCCTGGTGACCGACGGTTGCAAAACAATGTGAATGCGACTGAAGTGGACACTTAAATATGGGTAAAATGGTAAATTTTCTGCTATGTATACCTTATCATAATTTTAAAAATAGAAAAAGAAAAGAATTAAACACCTGACTCACTCTCATGATATTTACCTTCAAGATTCGCCAGAGTAGAAATAGTCGTCACATCCAGACCTACCTCAACACTGTCTTCCAGAAAGAATTGAAGTGGAGAAATACAGTTGTTGTTGTTGCTGTTTTTCTGGACAGAGAGGATATATACAATACCCAGCAGAGGGCGGAAGGGAGTGAAGATGGCAGTTCTCCCTGAATTTTGGTTTTGAGAGCATTCTTTCTTCTTCTCTAATTTACAGTCTTAATTAAATGTTGTTGTCCTTAAAAGTGAAAGTCTTCCTAAGACAGCCACATTAGAGGACAGAGGATAAACAACTCTCCCACTGAACATACTGGTTAAATGATCATATCATTTAAATTATCACATAAAAATAAGTGCTCAGTGCTGGTTTTTCTGATGGTAACAGAGTCCTGCTAGTCTTTTTTTTTTTTTTTTAAGATATTTTTATTTTTCCTTTTTCTCCCAAAGACCCCTGGCACATAGTTGTGTATTTTTAGTTGTGGGTCCTTCTAGTTGTGGCATGTGGGATGCCACCTCAGCATGGCCTGATGAGTGGTGCCATGTCCGCACCCAGGATTCCAGCTGGTGAAACCCTGGGCCTCCAAGGCAGAGCGCGCAAACTTAACCACTCGGCCACAGGCAGCCCCCCAACTGGTCTTTTTTTGTTTCATTTTGTCTGTATGTTGTTTACCCAGATAATTTTGCAAAGTACTCTATGAATAATTTTGTTGATGTTCTCACAAAAGGGATCCTAAGAACTAAGTCTCCTAGAAACCCTATTGAAACTCTATTGCAAAATTGGTGGGACTCTGGTTTCTGGGCATTTTCCTTTCTCCCAGCTGGGCTCTGTTGCCATAACCAAATGCCATAAAAGTGCTGCCATTCACATCACTGCTAACTGATAAAATATCTTTTCCTTACCTTGATTTCCCACAACACATTTTCCCGTTATCCTTGATCGGCTACTATAATTACTTTGAGGAAATTCCTTTTTTGCATAAAAACATATTGCTTTTTATTATTTTAAAATACCAAAGGACTAATTTTCAAGGAAGAGAGCAGCATTTTCACGACTAGGGTTCTCTCTCTTCCCTGTTGAAGGAAGCCAAACCCTTCCCTGGTGCATTTTAAGAGTGCAGAGTGTTTTTTTTGACTTCTGCTTTCAAACAGCCTGGGAGTCGCGCGGATGGCATATGGACGCGCGAGGAAGGTTCTGTTTAACGGCAATGAGCATCAGCTCTCTCCGCCTTCTCCCTCGGCTGCCGCTCCGCATCATGTTAAAACGGCGCCGATAGCAGCATCTGTCCAGGCAATTCTGGGTCCTCCATTTATTGAAGTAATGTGGATGCGCATAGCCTTCCTCTTTCAGGCATTGAATATGATTCAAGTCCCAAATATCCGTTATTATTTCACTTACCGTGAAATGGGAATTGTAAGAGCCCTGATAAACGATCTGAAAGACTAATTTCCATAAATACCTCTGTTGGCTGTTAACTCGCAATTTTATAGCATCTAAAAATTCTGAAACTCCTCTGTGCACATCCCCGAGTGAGTTGACAGCCACGTGTCCCTTGCATCAATTCTGCCAAAAAAAAAAAAAGAAAAGAAAAAGAACTATTTTTCTTTTCTCTGGCAGAAGAAGAATACTGCTCTCAAAGCCCAGCATGTGTGAACAATGAGCCTATTTCTATAGAATAGAAATGATGGGGGAGCTCAACACAGTGCACACTAGGATGGGCTTAATTCATTTAATTTGTGTCTCCAGAATGCCTCATTTTCCTTTCTCAGAGTCAAGGTGAAGGGAGAGTGGGAGGGGACAGCTATGGGAAACTAGGAGATCAAAAAACTAAACAACTAAACAGCCCTGGGTTGTTTCAGAAGCTGAAAACCCTCTGAGCTGATGATCCGTGTGTTGTGTGTTAAGTGAATATTTGTTGCCACATAAGGATAGCTCAATGCCGTCTCTAAGCTTGGCCGCTCTCGTGTTGATGGCAATTGGCTGGCTCATAATAAGCTTCAGGAAAACTAGCTTTCATGTGGAGTTCACCAGATTTAGGAGCTCTGTAAGAGTTACTTTCATAATTTTAAATCCAGAATTTCCATGAGGAGAATCTAAACAAACTGTATAGACTAAATAAACATCATTGTGGGGAAGGGAGGTCTCCAATATGGAAATCATGGTGACACAAACATTGGCAGGAGTTGCAGTAAATTAAAATATAAACAGCTTTCCTTGATAGAAAATCCCATATGGAAACTGGAATCTGGCTATAGAATATAGATCACACAAAACAGCATGTCTCTGTGCTTAGTAGTAAAGCTAAAGAAGGCGGGTCGGGGATTCTTGTGTTTATCCAGCCTGTATGACGGAGGGTGAACTTGTTGTGTTGAACGCCATTATGGAAGGTGGGTGCGCAGCTCTCCAGAGGCACATTCCACTTCCACTCGGGCTTCCGGCCAGGATTTATTTCCTTGGGTCCCACCTAAATTCATCATAATAGAGACTTCAGCCTCTAAGAAGGGGTGTGGGAAGGGATCTGAATCCAAACTGTGTGTTCTCTATGTGCCAGATACTAAAAGAGTCCAATTAAAAAGTAAAAACAAAGTACAGAAAATAATTTAACAAGCACTGTTTCCAGATTTACAAATGTCAATATTTTGTTCTACTTGCTTCAGATCTTTGTGCGTTTGTATAAAAGACACAAAATATCCCAGTTCAAATGAAAGCTCCCTTTGCTCTGCTCCTGAGCCCCATTCTCCTCCGTTCCTCCCTGGGGCAGAAAAGCTGCCATTTTGGTAGGTTTCATCCTCGTGTGGATACATTACCACATTATCTTATTTAGTCCTTCCAACAACTCTTTGAAAAGGACATTATCCCTATGTTACAGATGAGGAACTGAGACCCAAGAAGATTAGTATTTGCTCACGGTCACACAGTGCTTAGGTAAAAGAGTTGAGATTCAAAGCTGGGTTACTGTTATTCAAAACCTGAGCCCTTTCTACAGCACCCTAGATCCAAAGGACCTGGTCCTCTTCCTCATGTCACCTGAGGACTGTAAGGATTTGTCCCAGCTGAATCATTTCACCTGTTTGGATGTTGATTCATGAGCTTTGCTTTCTGATTCCTTAATGGAACCATTTTCACACTTTTGTCTTTTGGGTTTGTGAAGCCCAAACATGAACCCAGTTAGGGAGGGAGAAAGTGGGAGAATTACACTATCTTGTTAGATGCATTAGGACTTCCTATCTGTCTCTAAATACAACCCTGGTGCACAGTTGCCTTCCTAAGGGCCAACCGCACATCCCATATTTCACTGGTCCCATGCCATTAGAGAGCTACCTGTGAAGCGGTTTTTAAAACCTTTCCAGGGATACTCATAATTTGTGTTATAGCCATGACACTCAAAAAATGCTTTCAGAGAAAGGTGGGACAAAAGCAAAGTACAACTTAGATTCAACAGTGGCTGCTGTACACATTAAGAAAATACTTCTGCAAGGCAATCTGGTAATGTATCGTGAACCACAAAACTATCCATAACGTTTGACTTAAAAACTGATGGCCTAGTGGTTAAAGTTCAGTACACTCTGCTTTGGCAGCCCAGGTTTAGTTCCCATGCATGGAACCACACCATTCATCTGTCAGTAGCCATGCTGTGGTGGTGGTTCACATAGAAGAACTAGAATGACTTACAACTAAAATATACACCTAGGTACTGCTGCTTTGGGGTGAAAAACAAAGATGAAGATTGGCAGCAGATGTTAGCTCAGGGCAAATCTTTTCCTGCAAAAAAACAAAACAAAAGAACAAAAAAAAAAGAACTACATTCTGAGAATCTATCCTAAGGAAGTAACCCAAATAGTGGGAAAAGCACATTCAAAACACTTCTTAGTTCTAAAGTCTGGAAGAGAACTAATGATCCCACAAGTGTGTTAGACGTACTATAGAAAGACTCCTCGATTGAATCATATATTATCATTAAACTGATAATTTTGAAGAAAAGCAAGCCTCTCATCCTCACTTTCCTGATTCACTATGTTAGATTTGGTGAACTGGTTAGCCCTGCTGATTTTCAGATTTTTCATTTGAAATATGCAAAATACTGACATCTACCTTATGGATATGAGGAAATTGAATGGCCTGAAATATTAAACAACTTATCCCACTTACTGGTACCAAATAGTGCTCAATAAGTTGTGTCTAATGGAAGTATTATCTATGAAAAAGGTATAAATTTATCAAAATTACTACAAAATATATCAATAGAAGAGACTGGATTCAAACATATAAAAAGATAAGAACCTAATTTTCATTATATGTTTTTCTTTTACTACAATAAAAAAATTGAAGAATCTGATTTGGGGTAATGATGTAGGGGAGGAAATATTTTTCTTCCACCCTCTTAGGTTGTGTTTTGGGGCCTGCAAATTAAACATAAGTTAACAGCTTAACACGGAAAAAAACAAAGTTTATTTATATCCATATGGGAATGCACAAAAGAAGTGGCTCTTTCAAGGTAAAGATGGGAGTTTAAAAACCTAACTTAAGGGAGGTTAGAGGGAGAAAGGCTTCTATGGAAGGAACAAATGGATTTCTTGGGGAACCAATGGGAGATGAGAAAATTTGTCATAATGTTTGCTTATGCAAGTGGGATTGGCCTTCTCAGTTTTTTTTCTTCGTGGCTGTAAAACTCCCTTGGAGAGGGGATTCTTGGCTCATTCCCAGAAGTTTCTGCTTTTAGTGATAAAGGAAGGCTTCTTTCTGCATCTGTTAAATCTCAAATATCTTTCCTTTAAAATAATCTGTATATCAATTCTGAGGGCTTAAGTGGGTTTCTACACTGGCATTAAAACATTTTCCTGGGGCTGGCCAGGTGGCTCAGCAGTTAAGTTCACACATTCTGCTTTGCCACCGCGGGGTTTGCAGGTTCGGATCCCAAGTGCAGACATGGCACGGCTTGGCAAGCATGCTGTGGTAGGCGTCCCAGATATAAAGTAGAGGAAGATGGGCACAGATGTTAGCTCAGGGCCAGTCTTCCTCATCAAAAAAGAGGAAGATTGGTAGTAGATGTTAGCTCAGGGCTAAACTTCCTCAAAACAAAACATTTTCCTTCCTTATATGTTAAACAAACTTGCTGTAACATTCTTAGGCAGATTGTATGAAGTTTTAAAAGAGAGTGATATTTTCTAAGCTGTTACTGTATAAAGTGTTAAAGGAAGACTCTTCAATCCAGGAGAAAAAGATTCTAGCACAGTCTAGAGATTCTAGCACAGTCTAGATTCAGAGATCATGGCAACGGTAGAAAGAACCCTGGACTGGTAGCCCAAAGACCTCCAGCCACATCACAGGAACAGTGTTTATTTCCCATGCTCTACCACCCAAGGGAGTGGGCCCTGCTTGTTCTGGGTTTCCTTACCAGTAAAATAAGAAAAGTTCTAATTTGCAGGTTTCCTAAAAAGAACTGGGTAAGACTGACGTAGGTTGAAAAAATCACTTGGTTTATGAAGGCTCATTTATGTTAGATTAAGATATTTTAATACAGTATGATCTTATAAATAAGGTGAAATTTTAGTCATTTAAATCAAGAGAAAAAGGACAATGATTAGACCTGAAAACTTAAAAAATTATATATATATGTATGGATTCACCTCCAGGGAATGCCACGCTGACATTCACCCTCAGGCACTCTCCTTAAGTCAACGCTGTCATTTAGAGACAAACTTGTTTTTAAAAAGTGAAGTTAAGTAAGAGCCAGAAACCTTGCTGAAATAAAACAATAAGCACTTAAGGATGTCCTTGAGCACAGTGACCGTGCAAAATGTGATTGTTATTAGGGAACATTGTGTGCTCAATACTTTGGCCTTGTTATTTTCAGAGCTCAAACCAGAAATGCCAACCTCTCCACCTCCTGGAGTTTCTGGCATGTTTATGGATGGAAAGTGGCTGACAAAAGGCTCATTTTTGGTCAGGCAATCTTCAGTTAGAAATGAAATTTGTCTACTAATTTAACCAAGATTTCCTAAGACAGCCCCCCACTCACAACCAGACTACCTTTTATAAAGAGTTTTCCCAAACCTTACAGCCTTCCCTGGAAAAATAATAAAGCAATCCATCAGTGTAGCTGTTAACACTAACTTCAAAATTGTTGTAACAAGGTCCAAGTGAGTATAAACATCAGAATAAAGTATTCTACAGAAGG